TTCCGACTTCGAGCTCCGGGTTTGCAGTGATCTCACAGTAGAAGAACTCGGAGACGTTTAAGTGCCGCTTCGCCGTGCTGCCGGGACAAACCGCACAAAGCGCAAGCGCCTCTCACGACAGCACTCTGTAATCATAATTAACGGTACCCGACTGGCTCCCCAAACACAACCGAGCCTTGTCGACAGCACCGAGGCGGATCTGTCCCGTTGCGCATTCTTGGCACGCGATGCCGTCGTCGTCTGCCAGGGATTGGCGGCTCTCTCCTCGCTGACACAGGAGCCGTGCCAGCTGCATCTGCGCGACAGCCAGAATGCAGCGGGGGGCTTCGCGGCAGTCAACTCTGCCAAGCTTCACGACCGCATCATCTCCAGCCGCAATAGCGTTTGGAGACGCTGGCACGAACTTGGATCCGCTGTGAAGCATCAGGCTTGCGATGTTTGCCTCGCCAGACTCCAGGTGGAAGCACCCGGAAGTCGGGGCGTGGCAGTGGGTGCAGCTGATCTGCGGCGCCACGAGCTTTCTTTGGGCGTAGATGGCACCACCCGTGCCTTTTGCTTTGCAGCCCCTCAAAGATAGCGGGGCCGCGAGCTCGGCCCCGGCTTGCACGTAGACACAGCCGCCGAGGCTCGCGGCAGAGCAGTTGAACATATGCAGCCGCGGAGCCTCTCCGCAACATGTCATGCGCACAACAGGTAGGTTCCACCATCCCTACAAGACATCCGATCAACATCACACCTGGGGTAAGGGTTAGGAGGCGGAGAGAAACACGGCAAAGGGAAGCTTCTAGCATCGAAGGTTTTAAACCCCTGCCTTACTGTGGATCCACGTCGTCATGATGCCTCCGCCTTTGTCTGCCTTGGAGTCCCGGATGGTCAGCGTGGCCATCTCACCCATGGTAATGTTGCGACCCGAGAAAATGCCACCTTGCCGTGGAAACGCTGATGCTAAACGAATCAGCAGCATGCCAGCGGCTCAAAGCATGCGCAAAACTCCTACAAACCCGGGCCCGGTGCCTCCTTCTCGATGCGCTTTGCAGCCCTCAAGGCTCACTGCGCCGCCGGACTGCGTGAAATCGTTATAAGTGTGAATGCAGCCTCCAGGGCAGGGCAGGTGTGGGATTTGCCGATTGGGCCGAGGAAGCAGCACCTTCCCGTCGTTCACTGAAAGCTCGACACGTTTGCAGTAGCAGCTTGACCACTTTGTCTTCGTTTCACGATACCACGGCCAAATGTTTCCAGCGAATGCAGCACAGGGGAGGGTTCAGCCTGTGATACAACCGCTAGCCACGAGTCTAAAAAGTCCAAAGGATGAACTTCAATCGGCTCACGAAACAACAAGGTTCAGGCTGCGACAAAGCTCTTGCAACAAGCCACCGCAGTACCCAACATACAAGAAGGCTCGTTCAAAGTCTTCTCGAGAGATGGGGATCGAACTGTTGCAGGTCTGAGGGTGATGCTTATACAAGCAATCCTGCCAGTTTCCTTAATTTCTGGGTGGGTCGTTTCTCAGGAGCTCCCGACAGGGCTCTTCACAGCAAGTGCTTGCAAATGGCAGAAATTGCCCCGACTACTGGGCTACGCGTTGCCCCGAAAAACTCTCAGCTTGTATCAAATTTAATTCGAAGAACCCTCCGCTGTAAAGCTTCTTCAGACTTCAGGCTTCCAGAGCCAACACTCAACAAGTGGACGTGGCTGCTGGCCGCTGGCTACGAATCTGATTGATGAAATTCATGCGCGAAAACGTGCAAGAGAGCTCCCAGACATTTTCAACGGACAAGCATTTGGAAGAGGGCGGCATTGCTCGAGGCAATGAGCTGCTGGTGCTTGAAAGCTCTGTTCAAGATGCGGCTAGTGTGCCAACATCAACAGTCAGTCAGCGAGAGCATACTCGTTTCCTGCGGTTGGGAAGGACTGCCCATCAGCAGCGGAGCGATGTACTGATGCATCATGCATCCAACGTGCTTCTGAACTCCTAAACATTGCTTATGACTTGTTGCGCTACAGCAGGGTTGCATCTGCCTGCAAACCTCTCAAGCCTTGCACCCGAAGAACCCTCCGCCCCAAAACTGCATAGCCCATGACGCTCTGCGTGCCACTTCTTGGGCGGGGGATCCCTCGTCCTCCTGTTCCAGGACCATTGAAGCGACCCACTCCCCCGCTGCCTCCATCCTCCCAAGCCTCGGACTTCGTGATGGTGAGATTGCCACCGGAGACGATCATGTCGCGTGTTGCATAGACGGCACCTGCGCGCGTGTGTGGCAGCGTCTCTCAACCGCTGCTTAGACCTATGCCCGAATCCGAAGCAGCTGCCTAAGCCCTAAACCGGAAACCCTAAACCCTGAAACCGAAATCGGTCAGGGGCCGGGCCAGGGCCTGGTTCCCTCTATAATCCTCACGCTACACACGAGTGTGAGACCGAACAAACTTGCGAGTTATGTGTGGGCAAACC